ACATAGTTTCTTTCAAAGCATCTATTTATAGGGCAAACACAAGTGATGTAGAAAACCAATCATTTCCAGATTATGGGAGATAAGTGACCTTTATTAGCATTACAAAATTGGGTTAGACGTAGGTTTATTAGCTTGATGACGAAAGGAATTTTTGTTCATTAATTAAAGGGGTGAAAAGAAAAGGATATTTGATAAGGGACTTAAGATTTGTGGGCGCAAGCGAATATTATTATGATTTTATTATTATATATGAATCTGCTTGTGCATGCAAAGCCTTGGAAAAGTCTAAAAATTCTCTTCAGCTGTAGATTAATAAGAATAAAGAACATATATATATATATATATATTTTTTTTTTTTGCCTGGAATAAATTTATATGTGAGCTGGAAACTTTTAATTGAACACCAATGATGTATGGATGAGATCGCACATTCCGTCACTTCTCTAATTAATGTCTCTTCTCAAATTATTTAATTGATGAGGATATTTGGCGTGTAAACAACTTGGATTCCATATTCCGTTACTTCTCAAATTACTGTATTTTTGCTTACTCGTCCTACAAAAAATTCAGATCTATACATTGTGGCCAAAATCTATATTAATCCACCTTCGACAAGAATATAAATTGATTAGCCCATGATATCAACAAGAACGTCGAGAGTATAGAACTCTTCGATTTAGAGTAATTACGACTTTCTTAATAGTCGGGGGCCTGAGGGAAAATATGGTAATTAATTAAGGACCTATCAAATATTCCATTGTCAGATCTTGTCGTCAGGTCTTGAAATCAGTTAACTTAGCGATATTCATATAATTGTTGGGCGATCACTGAATTATACCTGATCTTAATCTGTCCAACATGTCGATCACCTAACCAATACTTTTTCTGTTCGAACATAATCTACTCGAATTTATTGTTTTATGTCTTAGGAATGCATTTGAATTCAATTTTGGTTGGAAATCGGTTACATTTTCTTTCAAACGAATAAATCCAGAAATCTATCGCTATTTCAATGGAACATAATTAATTAATTTCCTCAGAATATTTTGGGGATTGCAATTGATGATTGTGACTAATAATGGAAAATAAAATCTTTGGGAACGAGTCCACATGATATGTCGAGTATTTTCAACTGCATCTTTGGCAATATGGGCAAAGACAAGCAGAAAAGATGAGAGAATTAAGGGCCAATTGCATAAAATTGACCCTAGCTAGAAACATGAAGAAGGAGAATCCCTCATATGTAATGTAAGTGCCTTATATCTAATAAATATACTTATCCTCCACCTGTCTTCTCCCCAAAGCTTCTTTTCACAATTAATATTCCACTCGTTATCATGACGATCATCACCATCATCATGTTGAGTTTTGGTGTTCTTTGTAACATGCATAACAGTGCCAATCTCTCTCTCTCTCTTTTTTTTTTTTTTTTNGGAAAAGCAAAGAGAAAATTGCAATTTTAGTCCAGTAACTTAGGTTGTTTCCCACTTTAGTCCAGTAACTTGGGCTGATCCAAAATTGGTCCAAAAACTTCCAAAATGTAATTAAATTAGTCCAATTCCGATCCCCGTCGCGGGAATCCGAATTGCCAACTCAGCACATTCCGATCGGATTCCGGCGACGGGAACCGGAATTGGACTAATTTAACTACATTTTAGAAGTTTTTGGACTAATTTTGGATCGGTCCAAATTACTGAATTAAAGTGGGAAACAGCTTAAGTGCTGGACTAAAATTGTATAGTCTTATGTTACTTAGATGTGTAATGGTTTCTGATTTATATACTATCAAAACAAAGTCCTACTGTAGCCGTAAATTAATATGCACATGCCCTTAACATACTAATAACAATATAAACAAAAAAAAAATGTTATTGTATAGTCTAAGTATTCTTCTTTGTTAAGAAAATCATGATGTATTGAGTCGCCTAACGATTCTTCCTCTTACATGTGAATTTATGAATAATATAAATATTGACTTAATTATTAACGATAATGTTGTCAATAACAATAATATAAAGATTTTTATTCATACATTTCAATTCTTTTTCAATCTCCTTATATTTCCATTATAATTTTTAAATTAAAAACCAATCATATTATCACATATTTATTTACGAAATTTACTATTCACTTCATATATTTATTACTAGCAATTATTATTTTACTATTTCTCTATCACATTATAATTAATTATTAATATACATATTTATAACTAATTATTCAATATATTTTGGGTCAGTTGATATTAGAATAATCACTAATTTTTTTACTATATTTGTTTTATCAATAAAAATTCGCTTAAATCAAAATATATACACATCCTATATGTGTCACTTCATATGAACAAAATTTGAGTTAATAGCATATCGTTGGCAAGTGTTGGTAATAATATTAATTTCTTCCAATAAAAAAGAAGAAAAAAAAAGAACCATATATAACAAGAGCTGGGGATTTGGGCCATTATTTAGATGACACGCCTATAGTCAAAGGTGCTTTGGCAGGATAAATGATATAGCAATAGAATAGGTTATCCATAAAAAGGAACCTGATCACCTTCACTAGTTGCCGTAAAAGGGATAAAAGCTTGGTGTGGCAATGCATTTGTCTGAGAATGTGGACAGTGGCCAAAATTCTTGGACATGCCCCTTTTAGGAAACCCACACAGCCACACATTGTGACTCTTGTCAGATGTCCTCTTACTTTTTCCCCCACTTACTCTGCACCTTCAGCTTTCTTTTCCTCTCCCCAATTCAAGGATAATATACAACATGTCAATCACTGTTGCATTTTCTTTATACAATAGATATATACTATTAAATACAATAACTATAGATTAGAAAACAGAAAGAACAGTTCAAATTGAATTTTTAGAACATCAAACACAACATAAATGACTAAAATAAAGACCACATAACTAGAATATAACATCAAATCATGGAGGGTATTCAAAAAAAATATAAAGAAAACACTTTGACCAGATATAAGAAAACACCTCTATTATGTATCTTATGCAGATGACATTATTATCTTCACTCTTGTGGATGATGATGAACTGGTCAAGTCCTTCTAGAGCACTATGGCTCGATCACCGATCAGCTAGTCAGTGTGCAGAAGAGCACTTTCATCCTCTCCCCATTTACGGACCAGTGGGCGCAACACGTCAACGTGCGTACTGGTTTCGCTTACAACGACCTCCCACCACCTACCTCGACGCCTCTTTGTACTTGAGCCATCTAACGAAAGCACTCTTTGTAGAAATCAGGCAGAGGATGATCGACCGGTTCTTCGACTGGTCGCATAGAAATCTTTCTTCTGGGGGTCGGGTCGCGCTGATCAAGAGCACCCTCAGCGCCCTTCCACTTCATCTCTTTATGGTCCTTGGTCCCCCTAGATCCACTCTCCACGAGCTAGATCAGATCATGGCTCGTTATTTCTGGGGACACGGGAATTGCTCTCGGAGGGGAAGACAGTTCCACTGGGTGAAGTAGGACTCCGTTTGTCGGCCTTTGTCCGAGGGTTGCCTTGCGATCCACCGCTTATCAGACGTAGTCACCGCCTTCAGTTATAAAATGTGATGGCGCTTTAGGGAGAGAAATAAAGTCGCTTTAGGCATAGTACCTTTGCGGGAAATACTGCCCCCATAGGTAACAGTCACGCCACAGCCATCGATCATGATAGCACACAGTGGAGGCGGCTCACCAGGGTAGGTAAGCGTGCCCAAGAGTACATCTTCTTGACGCTGGGTGAGGGGAATGTTAGCTTTTGGGACAAGTGGTGGTTTGGTGAGAGACCCTTTTCGAGCACTAGACAGGTCATTCACTCCCCTTTTCCTGCGGGTGAAGGACTTGTGGACCGATGTGACATGGAATAGGGATAGGTTAGAGAGAGAGAGTTAGGTACTGGAGTGGATTTTAGTGACCGGTTATTAGAACAGATCCAACAGATCCCCATCCCAGAGGACAGTTCAGGATGGTATAAGGTGGAAAATTACATGTTCTGGTGTATTTTCTACGACCTCAGCATGGGGGGAAGTATGACTGGGTGACCGTCCTAACTTTCTTTTCGGGGTCATTTAGATCGATCTGCTTACCCCGACCATCTTTATCTTCCTCTGGCGTCTTCTTCTCGCCTGATTCTGATCGACTATGTGCTCAGGGGCGGACGGACATACAATCTATGAGGGGCCACGGTCCCCCCAAGCTTTTGATTTTGTTTTACCTATGTATATGTGTAATATATTGGTTATTAGATTATGTATATTTAATTATTATTATCTCCATTAATCAAATTAACTAAAATATATTGATTGAGACTATGTGGACTAGGACAAGTCAAGACCCATTACACAAATATATAGAAGATAAGCCATAAAGTCCATTTAATGATTTAACTTCCACCATTTATTGTATTATATATATTATTCTTTTATTTGTAAAACTAATAAAACTACTCTAATTGTGCACAGGGACGCACAACACAAGCTTGCAAGGTAAAAAAAAAAAATTATACTAATTTGCAGCAACAAAGGATCGTCCGTCATTGATTCTTTCGAATAATTTGATCATTTTTTTTATATTTGTGAGTATTGTATTCAGTGGCGGATCAATTTTTTATATTCTACTATGTATATATATACATATTACAAGCATATTATTAATTTTTTATCCTTTACTACATAAATATATATTATTAGCATATTCAATTTATGGCATCATTCTATAGTTATTACTAATTATTGTATTGCTCAGTCTATTAATTATTTTTAAGTACATTATATTTTTGTAAGTAAATTTTCACCCTTCATCTATAATATTTGGTATTTTACATTAATAATATTGGATTTAATTAAATTCAATGTATGAGATATATAACATCTGCATATAAAAAAATTGAAATAGCAAAGCATGCAAGATATGCAATTTCCACGGATCGAATAGTTATCGCAAGAACTATCAACACTGAAATAATTGTTAATGAGTCTCGTGATCTGATATAATCTCAAGCACAATTTTAATATATTAAGTTCATAAGTTATATCTTGAGTAAAGCATTTTTATTACTTATTTTATCTATTTATTATATAATGAAAATGTATGCCTCATGTGTGTGTATTATAGTAAATTATATATCCTCTCTAAAGGTGTTATTCAAGTCAAGTCAAGCTAAAATATCTCATGTTCAAACTCGTGTCTGATTAGTAAATGAGTTCGCTCGGCTTGACTCATTAATAAACAAGTAAGATCCAACTCAATTAATACACAAATTAAATTAAATGTTTGAGATTAGTTCTTTTAAGTATAAGATCAAAGTTGAGCTTGAGTTTTTATGAGTCAAACTGAACTTGTGCGCAAACAAGTCTGTTCGAATAAAAGTTTTAGTCCCCCCTAAAGATTTTTTCTAGATCCGCCCCTGTCTGTGCTACAGGCGAGGGGGGTTTCCTTCCCCTTAGGGTGTTACTGTTGTGCTGAAACCGGTGATTTCCAGACTTAGACTTTTCCCGACTTGTTTTTTAGGAGCGAGGTTGCGAGGAGAGTGTGGGAACATTTAGCCATATATGCTCATATACCCTTACCTACTACAGACAATTTCTTTGTGCTCCTGAGTGTATACATTTAATTGTGTATTTTTATACTCTTAATTTATTCGCACGTTTATATTTTTCGACTTATTTATTATTTGAATGGATTTATTTGCTTTGATTATTTTATATTTATTTTCAACTTATGAGAGTATTTCGGGATACGAAACATTGTACGGGAATTCACCCGAGCAGTTATCGAGACCTCCATAATTAATCCACTATATAGGCCCAAACTCAATAGTTTGATGTGGGCAAGGAATGTGAAAAGTGGGCCTAGCATTGAAATAAAATAAATAAATAAATAAAGGCCCAAGAAAATGATGTTCCCATGAAAAGAGAAATTGGCCATGAGCTTTTGAGGAGATGTTAATCACTTGGACTTATTTGGGCACTTGCAGCCCAAAACTGCTCGCTGCTGCGAGCTGGCTTCTCGGGCTGCCGTGGGCCGCGAAGAAGCGAGTTGCGCACCTATGAGCCGCGAGCTCGTACACGCTCATCCAAATTATAGATCATGTCCGATTTTTTCTACTCGTCCACAACCCTATTTGAGTTATAGTCTAATACAAAATAACATATTTGTCTTGTCTAAACATTCGTCAAACCCAAATGTTTCGAGAATCAAATAATCAGTGAGCTACTTGAACTCAATTGTTTCAACCTTAGATTTTCTCACATATACGAATTAATTTCTTATTCACCATAAAATAATTTTAAAAATTTTTTAATTCTTCCACTTACGAAAAAAATGTAATCTTAAAATCAGTACAAAACGAATTTTTTCTTATAGAGACTGAAGTTGTTAGTAATTAACACAAATATAAACTAGAAATTAACATAGCGGAAAGTTGTAATGACGTCCAAACACGATTAATTTCATACAGAAATCAAAATGAAAATAGTTTGAGAGGAAGTTGGCCATTGTAAGAGCAGCAATGGAAGCGACCTTTTGTCTAAAGGAATACCAGATACTTGTTCTTAAAAGTAAATCATATCGGCCTAGATTTTAATCTCAACTATAAACTAGGAAACGAAGTTTTATTATAATTTAGTTGGACGAAAAAATATGACAAAATTGGATCAGCTCCAATTTCCTTTTACCCTCTTAATTACCACCATCAGCATATATATCTGAANCCATTTTAGAAACTTCAGAACCAACAGTTACTAATAAACATAAACTCAGGTGAACATCTATGGTTTTCTTTTTCTTCCCAAACAATTCATATATACAACTAACTTATCAACATTAGAAGTCAAAATTAATTAAGAAAATATTTATACAATTCGTACAACTTACATTATTCATGTTATAGCTAAAATTCATGGGGAATGCCGAACGGTGATTAGTTGCTCGTGGAGGACCTTCTGGAGCCACCTCCTAATATGATTGCAAGCATTACATGTGAAAAAACACAAAACTTTAAAAAAAATAATTTTCTTGCAGAAAAATATAAATTAAATGGCACCATTGTTATATACAATTGTGCAGAAAATAGATACTCACATCTTGATTCATGCTTTGCATATTCATAATCGGATGATAGACTGGATAAGCAGGGGTTCCTCGAACAGGGGCCGGAACATAAACTCCAGGATGATTATCAAAGGCTGGATCCTCCTAATTCATGATTAAGAAGGTGAAAGGAACTTTTCATATTAAATTTAAGGGAAAAATTGCATTTGCTTTTTTAATCCCAAAGTTCCAACATTTTGCTTTTTGGTCATGTAATTCAGTATTTTGCTCTAACTTCAGTCATTTGAGGATTGAAATTGTAACGAGTTCCCAAATTTCTAGATTTTCAGTTAACAATTTAAGTCCTGAAATTTAAAATTTTGTTGCAATTTCAGTTCTGTAATTTTAATTTTTGTTGCAATTTTAATCCTCGAAGGACTGAAATCGCAACAAAATATTAAATCGCAGGACCAAAAGACGAAAAGTTCGAATCTTAAAACTAAAATTGCTATGAAGTTAAACCAATATAACTAAAAATGCATTTTTACCAAATTTAAGGGAATTGGACCTGAAAAGTTTCCATGGGGACAACGTCATTAAGGAAGGCTAAAAGATTATCGTCCCTAATTGCATTAGCAACGTCATTACGTTGGAGGGTACGGCGCCGGTTTTCCTGAGTGTGCATCCAAGCACGCATTGATAACTCCATAATGAACATTTCACAAGCTTTAGCAAATACCACTGGCGTATCAGCACTAATCATCTGCATTATTTGGCAATAAATAAATTGATTATATTAATTGATTGTCCACGTAACATCTCATATGTTTGCAATTCAACAAATAATGTTCTGTTTGTTTGAATTAAGAAATTTGCATAAATTATATTGGCATGTAAAATATGTGTAGCATTGGTAATTTGGTACCATGAAAAATAAAATATTTATTATAAAAAAAAATAGAATATTTTAAGACATGGTTTTCTATTGCTTTTAGCAATTTAGCATACCTTCACTTGTTCATCTGATTTCATTACTTTCTTTATACGAGCCAATGGGAGCATATTCGTGCCTCGAACATCTGCGTTATTGGAGTAGAAAGACGTGTGTGGGCATGTTTGTANAACTGAACTATTTTTTTTTTATTTCAACTTTAACTCAACTTCACTGTCATCAATATTATCAATATAATTAACTAATATCAATCAATCATTCATCCACGTCACATCAACCTTAATTTACTATTCATCCACTCACAATATTTTAACTAACTATCACATCAAATTTTTAATTATTTTATTTTAAATATTATTTTAATATACCCACAAACAATTAATCATAATATCCTTTTCAAAATTAATTAAATCAAACCAAAAAATCCAACAAAACAAAAAATTTTCATATCTTAGTATCAATTGCTGAATGGCCCACGCATTACCAATACCACCACAAAGTTTCAAATTTCGTTTTACGTGCAATCGCCTTTTATGAAATATCTAGAAACACATTCTTTCACACAAATTTTTACCAAATTGAAACTCACTTAACGCTATGTTTAGTAAAATTAACTGATAGCTAATAAGTTAGTTTATATCTTATGATTTATAGTTGAAAAGTTAGTTTGTATGATAATTTGAACACAAAAAATTTATAGGCTAACTAAATAAGTTATAAACTAACTTATTTGACTTACCAAACATAGCCTAAATAAGATATCTGTAATAGATAAAATGTTGCAAAATATACTCAGTAATTTGATTCAAATAATAATTCTGTCTAGTAATCAATGCAGACATTGAGTTATTTTTTGTCATTTTTTTTTTTTTTTGAATTAGTTAGTGAATACTTAATGCAATTTTAGGCACATTGTGCTCGATTAATACGTAGTGGCTTATTATGCATCGAAAAACGTATGGACAAATTTCTAATCTTCTCCAATATACTACAAATATTTTATAATTTTACCTATATAACAATATGTGCATAATTAAGAGTTTGTATATATACCAAACTCTTTAAAATTATTTCTAACACAGAAGAATAATTTGTAAGTGTAAAAGTGAATTTGAGTATCAAGCCTCAAGTATATACGTTAAAACTAGATTTTCTTGTTTATTACTAGTATGTAACCCGTGCGATGCACGGATTGTATTTATTTTAAGGAATATTATAAATTAAAATATATTAATAAATAAAATAGTGATAATTCGTAGGAAAATTGTCAAATAATAAAATGTTTCTCATTGAAAAAATAATATTTTATTAAAATCCTCCTTGTACATAATATTAGTAGTTTGATAACTACGGAACTTTGTCATCCCCACAAACTAATATTTTTAACCATTTTCTATTCCTTACACGCAAAACATATAATTGGTCGTGACTTAAAACCGATTTCGTTAAGAACATGCCAAAGCAAGATAAAGGTTGACCCTGCTTCTTATTTATCTATTACTTACACGCGAAACAACAACATATAACTGGTTGTGACTAAAAACTGATTTCTTTATGAACAACAACATATAATTGGTCGTAACTAAAAATCGATTTTTATAAGAACATGCCAACGCACGAAACCCATGAAGGCTCGCGTACCTTAATTTGGGCGCTCGACTTAGGACGGGCCCGCTCACCACACATCCAAGTCATACTAATTCGACCCAGGACGGACACGCTCATCCATCCCGGTCATCAATCTACTCACACACATACCTCAGATAGGATAAGCAATTATAGGTAATGTAATACACAGTACAAGTCCCCACCTGATAGCGACTGGCCTGATACTTCTTTATCTATTAGTTACACGCGAAACAGCAACATATAATTGACCATGACTAAAAATCAATTTCTTTACTAACATGCCAACGCACGATAAAGACTGACCCTGACTATTAAATCGAACCTAAGATCAGAAGGAACTGGTGTCGTTGGAAGTTAAATGGAACCCTAAGATTGATCTATTTATAATATGATAATTTACTTGGTCGTCGACAAATGAGTTGTTAGTTTATCATTTTAAATCGATTATACTTGATTAGCTAAACAATATTCACTAATATTTTTATACTTTTTTATCTTGTTTAAAAGAGCATTAAACATGCATGTTTACAATATTAAAAACACCTAAAATGTTATACAACATATGTAAGATCATCTAAAATATTCTATATTATTCTTAAAAAAGTGAGGTCACCTAATTTTTTTGTAAATTAAGTAAAACATGTCTAAAGAAATTTTTAACACACACACTGCTAAAGATAATGAAAACACAGAGAGAATGAAGATGATGATTCATTATTGATCTTTGTAATTGGGGCACACAGTTTTATACAAATACGGAGATTAGCTAAGGGGAATTAATTACTTAACTACTTAGCTAATCCTAACTAACTACTTGACTAACTGTTTGACTAATATCTAACCAACTATTAACACATTTATTATTCTAATACACCCCCGATAAACGAAGCCCGGTTGTTTTTAGCACGAAGAGGTAACCGAGAACACAGAATATGAAACTGGCCCGGAGAAAGCGGTTTGGTCAACACATCAGCAAGTTGAAACTCAGAAGGTATATGACGAACATCCACCTCCTTAGAACAGACTTTCTCACGCATAAAGTGAACATCGATTTCAATATGCATGATACGTGCGTGATGCACAGGATTCGAGGCTAAAGCGGCAGCACTGGCATTGTCACACCACAGCACGAGCTTCAAAATATATACCAAGCTCTCGAAATAAGGACTGCATCCAAATAAAATCAGTCGTGGCTGTAGCAAGAGATCGATACTCTGACTCAGCACTACTTCGAGCCACCACATGTTGCTTTTTGGAACTCCAGCTGAGAAGATTTGAGCCGAGGAAGATGAAGTGACCACTAGTGGACCGTCTATCATCCACGCAACTTGCCCAGTCAGCATCAATGTATGCTTCAAGCACAAACCGAGACACAGGCTAAAAATTCAAGCCAACTGTAATTGTGCCTTTTATGTAACGAAGAAGATGTTTGCATGCAAGTCAATGAAAATGAGTAGGAGCATGAAGAAACTGGCTAAGCTTGTTAACCGCAAAAGAAATATCCGGCCTTGTCATAGTCAAATATTACAAAGCACCAATAACACTTCTATAAAGAGAAGGATCTGAGAAGGCCTTGCTATCACCAATAAACAATTTCTGACCAGGAGAAATGGGAGTAGAAACCGGTTTACTGTATAGCATATTAGTCTGAGCAAGTAAATCCAAATCATACTTTGCCTGATTTAGAAGGAAGCATGTGGAGGTCTTCAAAGCCTCAAAGCCAAGAAAATGATTTACTTCTCCAAAATTCTTTAAGGCAAATTGTTTACTGAGAGAATCAATGAGTGCATGAACCATAACTGAGCTATCACCAGTGATGAGGATATCATCAACATAAATCAACACCAAAAGCAGCTTGCCATCTTGTTTTTGGAAAAATAATGAGGAGCCAGAGACAGACTCCTTGAAATGAAGAGACAGCAAGTGAGCTCTGATTTTTGAAAACCAAACTCTGGGAGCTTGTTTTAGACCATAGAGAGACTTCTTCAATTTACAGACAGCAGTAGGATGTGTTGAGTCATTAAAGCCCTCAGGTTGGGACATATAAACAGTTTCATGAAGGTCACCATTTAAAAATGCATTATTAATATCAATTTGTTGAATAGACCATTTTTGAGTGCCAGCAAGTGTGAAAACAGTCTGATTGTTGAAGCTTTGACCACAGGGCTAAAGGTTTAAAGAAAATCAACTCCAACAGTTTGTTGAAAACCTCTAGCAACAAGTCTGGCCTTAAATTTGTCAATTGAATCATCAAGCTTATATTTTGTCCTAAAAACCCATTTATTACTGATAACCTTCATATCAGGAGAAGGATCAACCAAAACCCATGTATCATTTGCAATTAATGCCTGAAACTCATCCTTCATAGCAACAAACCAAGAGGGATTAGACAAAGCCTCAGAAACAGTAAGTGGCTCTAGGTTAGGTAAGGAAGTGAGAGCGGCAGCAAAGGTCTTGGGTTTGAATCTATTACCCTTAGACCGAGTAATCATAGGATGAGAGGGTTGAGAAGAACCAGAAATAGAAGAAGTATTATGAGGAGAAGTGGAATCAATATGAAGTTGAACATAAAGAGGAAACTCAGAAGGAGAAGCTGAGGAAGAAGAGAGGGAGGGAGAAGAGTGTGAACAGAAATGAAGAGGAGGAGAAATGTGAGTAATGGCCACAGGAAAAGTAGAGACATTTGGACTAGGGGCCACAGAAGAAGTTGAAGCAGTAGCTATAGGAGAAGTAGAAACACTTGGAGAAGAAATAGAAGAAATAGGAAAAGTATGTAAAGAAGAAGGAGAGTACTGAGGAAAAGAAGGAGAAGAGGATTGGTTGAGAGAAGAGGTAGAAGAAATGGAATCAAATATAGAAATGTAAGGGAATTCAGATTCATTGAAAGAAACTGTGATAGCAATGTACACTCTGCCATTTGAACTAAGGCATTTGTAACCTTTGTGTTGATCACTGTAGCCAAGAAAAACACACTTGGAACTCATGTACTAAAACTTATGAGAATTATATGGCCTGAGATAAGAAAAGCATGAACAACCAAAAGGCTTCAAAAAAGAAAAATCAGGTGAAGCATTGTAAAGCAGCTGAAAAGGAGATGAATTTTGTAAGACAAGTGTTGGTAGCCTATTTAGTGTGAAGACAGCAGTGTGGAAAGCATCCCACCAAAACTTGAGAGGCAAATTTGCTTGTGCCAATAAAGTTAAACCCATTTCAACAATATAGAGATACTTTTTTTCAGATTTTCCATTTTGTTGATGAGCATGGATGTCTGAAAAGAATACCAAGACTTTTGAGAATGGGAACCAAAGANCAGTTTGAAGACATTTGATATGAGTATGAAACTGAGTATGTACACACTTAAGAAATTGCTGGAAAACAGTGGCAGCTTCAGACTTGGCTTTTAAGGGAAAAATCCAACTAAACCTTGTGAAATCATCAATGAGGTGCATGTAATATTTGTAACCATCAACAGATACAATGTGAGAGGGTCCCCAAACATCAGAATGGACAAGTTCAAATGGTTTTGAAGTTTTAGTAGGTTGAGAGGCAAAATGTTTTTGATGCAGCTTTCCAATCTTACAAGCATCACAAAAAGGAATAGTATAAGGTATGTTGAAATTTAAACAAGTCCATGTCTTAGAACATTGTCACAAGGATGTCCAAGCTTTCTATGCCAACTATTTAAGACATTAGTAGTCATTACATTGGTCATTGGAACAGAAGTAGAAAGTAAAGAATAAGAATGAGAAATATGTGATTGAGAAGCTGAAGAAGATAGAGCAGCAGACTTTGATAGATCAAGCTGATAAAGACCATCCTTAAGTTGTCCTTCCAACAGAACTTGTTGAGTTTTCTTGTCCTTCACTTAAGACAGAAATTAGATTGAAACTCAATAAGGACATTATTATATATTTGGTAAGGTGTGAAATGCTCAGTAGATTTTTGGTAATATAGGGAACAAGAAGAATGTTGTTAAGGAGAACAGGGTAAGCATGAGAAATAGGATTGTAGGAAGATCCAATATGGGAAATAGGAAGAGTTGAGCCATTACCTACTGTGACCTTGTCAAATCCTTGATATGGAGCGGCCTGAAGTGAAAGATTCTCAAGATTAGCTGTCAAATGATTGGTAGCACCACTATCAAAGTACCAACTGGGATCTGAGGTTGTAGAGACTGAATCAGAGCGCACAGAGCCACTGAGATAGACATGTGGAGGTGGAGAAGTAGTTTCTGGTCCTGTAAAACTAATATCAAAACGCCTATAACACTTCAAGGCAACATGATTAGCCTTACCTCATAATTGACAAATGATTCTGTTAGTGTTCCTATAAGAACATCCAAAATCGCGGCCACGAGATCGACCACGACCTCGGCCTCTGAAGGAACCTCGAGATTGAACAAAGTTTGTGGCAAAGTGACTTTCAGTAACCTGAGATGGAGCAGTAACAGGAAATGCAGCAGGAGTGACATGAACTTGACTAACAAGCCTCATTTCATGTGTTTGTAAAGAGAAGTGAACCTCTGGTAGAGAAATGGAATCCAATCGAGAAGTGAGGTTAACCACAATAGACTCATAATCAGCAACCAAACCACCAAGTATATATATATATATATAGCTAATTCCTCATCAGTAATGCAGCAACCAACAGAATGCAATTCATCAGAAATAGATCGCATCTTCAACATATAATCATCAATGGAGAGATCACCCTTTTTTAGGGTTTGCAGTTGAAATTTAAGATGCAAAACACGAGCCTTAGATTGAGTATGAAAAAGCTGAGTAAGAACCGACCAAACCTCAACAGAGCAAGAGCATCGTGTGAGATGACCTAACATAGACTCAGTAATTGAGGCAAGCATCCAACTTAGAATGAGTTGATCTGTACGCATCCATTGCATGTAAGCCGGATTAACAACAGAGGAGGAAGGTAAAACCTTTGTCGGTGCCGTCGAATCAAGCAGATACTCCTCAAAGCCATGAGCTCGAACAGAGGATAAGATCTGAGCTTTCCAATACGAAAAATTGGATCGATCGAGGCGAAGAGGAAGGGGAGCAAGATGCGGCAAGGTAATCGGCAAAGAAGCGGACAATGATCGCTCAGCCATGAGAGAAGCGAAAACAAAAAAAAAATCGAAAAAGNTAAAAAAAAAAAAAAAAAAAAAATCAGCGAAAGCAAGGTTTTCCGGCGACTGATACCATGCTAAAGATAATGAAAACACGGAGAGAATGAAGATGATGATTCATTGTTGATCTCTGTAATTGGGGCACACAGTTTTATACAGATTCGGAGATTAGCTAAGGGGAATTAATTACTTAACCACTTAGCTAACCCTAACTAACTACTTGACTAACTGTTTGACTAAAATCTAACCAACTATTAACACGTTTTCTAATACGCACAAAAAATATTACATGTGAATAATATGTATTGAAGTCTACAAAAATATTAACCTACAAAACATTAAACATTACATCACGCTAATTTATGAGAGAGATTTATATATAGTAGATATAAAATTAAAAACATTAGTAGTTAGACATTACTTCACGCTAATTAATTTTTAGTTAGACAACCGCCCTATTATATGTATGANTGCTAATCCAAATCAATGATTCTAATAAATCTGTTAAAAAAAAAAAAAATCCTCCATAAATGAGAATTCCAAAATCGGCTACATATAATTATTTATATAACCTTTGCCTACAAAACAACTATCAACGTAATTAAAGGAAAGAAAGAATTGTCTAAAACAAACTGAATTAACCGAGTTATATGGAAGCTATGAAATTAATGATTTATTTTTATTTAAATTATATTATATTATTTCCAGCTATAGTAGGTAATTAATGTTTTTGGCGGAAAACGCTTTCTAAAAATGAATTAACATTATTCTTACTAGTGTGTACCTCGTGCGATGCACATGAACAATATTAAATTAACAATATTATAAATAGACCTCGAGTTTGAGTCATTCAATGGCAGAAGTGGAAACTACTATTGATCCTATTTAAGAAGAGGAAGAAAAAAAATAATTATAAATTAAAGAGGAGGATAAAAAATACTTAATAGTTATAAATTAAAGATTCGGGGTCAAACAATGTAAAATTATTTTGTATAAGAGAGTATAAAAAAATTTGATTACACACAATTTCAAAATTATTATTATACTTTTTTGTATGGTTAGCTTATAATATTTGTAAAAATATTAGTAATTAGACTGATGAAAATTAGCTTCTTAAAGTAGATAATGGATTTCTAGTAGTAATTATGATTTGGTTTATATTTTATTTTATTTTTTCTTTTTAAAGATAGTGGATTTCTAGTAGTAATTATGAATTGTTTTCTATCTTATTTTATTTTTTCAAATCTGTATAGATAAGGGATGAAATTTTTTACACACGTCAGACGTATGCAATGAGATTTTGTAACAGAAGAGATAAGCTCGTGTAGATTTATTGTCAAACAACGGTTTTGATAAACCAAAAAACAGGAAAAAGAGAAACAAATCTTTACACAATTAATGAGCCGATTTTTTTGTCTATTCAGATTTGTCCAACAATTACTATATGTAGGATATATTTAATGATTTTGGCGGAAAAAATGTTTCTAAATTTGTAAAAAGGTTATTCTTCTTATATAATGATAGATTTTATATATATAGATTTCTCGATGTGGCGTGATTCTTGGGTTTGTTTGTTTTCCCTCATACTCATGTTTATAATAGTCAAGTTTTTAAGAGCTGGCTAGGCGACAAGCTCGACATTAGCCTAGGACATCTAGACGGAGATTAGACATATCCTAGAGGCAGGGGCGAAACCAGAAAATTAGTTGAGAGGGGGCAAAAGATATGACATAATGGGTTCAGAACCGATAGCGAACCAATAACATTTCGGTTACCGTTACACATAAGTCAGTTCGGTTCGGTTTATTTTCTCATCGGTTTGGTTTTCGATTTTCGGTCAAGAAATACCAGCCTCAACTTTGGCCAATAAAAGAGAGTTGAAGTCGTTTATATGAGCCAATTAAAATTGTAGGATGATAATAATTAATATACAAAATTAGTAGTAAAATAAAGAAGTGTTGAATTGTTAATTGACAATTATGGACAAGTTTGTCTGGCGAGTGACGTTTAAAAACAAAAAATATGAGGATGTAAAAATAAATTTAAAAGGAGGCAAATTAAAATTTTTAATAGTAATAGTAAAAAAAAATAAAATTTGAGGGGGGCAATTGCCCCCTTATTAATACATCTACATTTGCCCCTGCCTAGAGGTCATAAAATATTAATAAATTTATTTATATTTAATATTTATCATCATGCATAGCTTACAAAATATATTTTATAAATATACGGTTAAACAAAAAAATTTTCAAATATATTATATATTTATAATTACTATATTAATTTTATATTTTATAAATATATTTTTACTACTTTGAAAATAAATTAAAAAATATATAAAAAAAATATTAGGCGCCTAAACCACCTATGTATGACAAACTTTGTAACCATCTAGGTTTTGAGCAATCCTAAAATAATGAATACAAACAAACACACAAAAAAATAATAATAATAATAATAAAAATAAAAAATAAAAAAATGAAAGAACCAGTGCAAGGTATCAAAAGTAAAAATACCACTTGGGGAGTCGTATACTTCAGCCATTTGCTCCTTCCAAAACTTTTGCATTCTGTGCTCCAATTCTTTCATAAAACTTGTGTTTCTGCTCTCTTCTCTCTGCCACGTATTTATAATTCATGTTATATATGCACAAGAAAAAAAATATATTGGCCGAGTAGTAAAATTAAAAGTCTCTTTCTTTCCATTTAGATTTCCACCAAATCAAATAAAATTGTACCCAAACAATCCCCAACCACAAAATAAAAACAATAAAGGAACAAATTAACAAAACAAAACAAATTCACATGTTACATGTATTTGAGTATTTGTGACTAATGATTCTAATTAGAGTCACACATCTGAATAAATGTACTTAATTTATGATTAATTACGGTTAATTATAACCCAATTAAGATTGGCGATTATTACAAACTTGAGATCCAAAATTTTACGAAAGATGGTTGATTATATACTGAGCAAATATATATATACCTGATTGTTAGTTGGTGCAGCAGATGATGGTATGGACATAAAATTGTGCAAATGCAAAGGTTGTCTTGAAGTGGATGAAAAGTGCATTGACTGGTTGAAGTCCATCACTCTTTTCTCTCTATCATTCTTCATTTTTCAGTGAAAACAGGAGTAACAAATTAAAAAGAAATGCTCTCTGAGCAAGCTAGTATATAAAGACGAGCAGCAAAAATAATTGGTGATATTTCACTTAAAATCTTATAACAGATTTACATAACTTTATTCTCTAATTATGGCAATTGATTATTATAATGTGAGGGCGTGTTTAACATGCTCTTTAAATTTGAGCTATTTTAGATAGTTTAAGGTACAAAAGTTCAAATACCAGGTCAATTATGTAGGTATAACGGGTCCAACTATGTATATTCTCTATTTGGAAGTGTGCGATTATTTGATTTTAAATTGCAAATTAAGGTTACTTCAAATTATTATTTAAATAAAATATGATAGCAATTTGGTACTCTCTATCTAAGCCGGTTAAAACCTTAAAAGCTAAAATAATCTAACATAAATTTTTCAACTCACACTCTAAGCATTCTCTATATGTAACCAATATGTAATTTTATAATTTAAACCATTAAGTAAGCTTAATATAAAACAAAATAAATAAAAAAGAGTTTTTTTTTTTTTTTTTCNTCAATTATTAATAGCTAGCTTAAATAGGTGAACCTATACATAAAAATAGCCATTTGAATTATGGTTTTATTTGTTAAAAGAATGTCGACATTTTTTTATAAGATATATAGCTACTATGGCCAAGGAGTAGCTTACATAAATAGCTAAAACTATATAGATGCCGATTTATTTCCACTACTGAAGTTGTAAAAAGAGATGGCTCTTTCGCCAATATAGCCAAAACAAACAATATTTGCATGATAATTTTAAAATAAATAATTGAGTTATACCCCCTAATAAAAATGTATATATTGCGATAGTAGAGTTACACGTGAAATGGTGTAGGTCCTCTTAACTAATGTTTATAACCTGCCCTCGGTCCTATTAATTGAGTTTGCTTTATGGTCATTAATGCTTAGTAGTCTTTTATAAATTGGAGAACCAAATTTGTTTTATGTACATGATACTCCCTATAAATGATAAAAAGTGCTCTTTGCATTTACACATATGCTTAAAAATCTTTTAGAGCATGTTTGTTTATAAAAATTTTTGGTTTTGTTTGAGTTTTTTTGTTTGGTTTGGTTAATTTTGAAAAAGGTTGTATGATTAGTTGTTAGTGGGTATATTAAAATAATATTTATAATAGAATAATTTAAATTGATTTGATGTAAAAGTAGGAGATAGAGATTTGAAGTGATAGTTAGTTAAAATGATGTGAGTGGATGAATAGTGAATTAAGGTTAATGTGGTATGTAGGAATGATTGATTTATATTATTTAATTATATTGATAATTTTGATGATAGTGGGGTCGAGTTAAAGTTGAGTTAAAAAAAGTGATTGAGTTAAAATGTTTGAATTTTTCTAAAAAATTCCATAAACAAATTTGATACACATAAAATGATATTATTTAATATAATGTTAGTTTTATGCTGAGTATACTTATAAAATTCATGTGGTCAAATTGATAAAGATGAGCTAAAAATTAATAATTTAATATAATATTGGCCATATATGTTAAATAGAATATTTGATATCTAAGTATTATGTGTGTGTGTATATATATATATATAGGGTGAGAATAGTGCTAATTGAAAGAAATAAGAATACAACATAACCGTGAGATTGAATGATCTAACGGCTTAATAAAAAGTCAAAATTATACATTCATTAAAGGCATTGAGGTAATTTTCCATACCACACACAAAAAAGTGGACCCACTCCACATTAATCCCTGCAACTGCCAACCATCACTGGTCAACTATACCTGGCCCCACCTCTCTCTCACCCACCCCACCTAACCCTCTCTCTCTCTCACACTCTGCACACACACACACATATACACACTCATACCTGCAGTCGCAACCCCCACCATCCGCCAACTTCACCCTCATCGTTGTCGACGGTCAAACTTCAGTAGCAGAGGCCGGCAGCTCCCCGGCGAGTTTCACGGCGCCGGTCGTCGAGCTCCCAACGCACCATTGCCGAGCTCACAGTGAGTCGCCGTCACTGAAATTGGCGGACGGCAGAGGCCACACCAGCATCGGAGAGCTCCCATGAACGTCATCGTCGCGGTCGTCCGGAGATCGGAGCTCACCGGCGAGCCCGATGCAAGTGGCCGCACGCACCCCCGACAATTGGCGGCCGACGTCGTCGGAGATCTCTTCCTTTCAACATCGCGGTCGAGTAGAGCCGAATATGGCCTTGTCTGTGCTTGAAAAAAACGTGAATTGAACCTGAAAACTAAAGAGCTTATGATTGGAATTTGATAAAATAGAAAGGATCTATATGCAATTTTAATAAAGTTACTTTTATTGCAATTTAGTACATGGACAAAATCTGTAATTTTTAAAATATTATAAAAAAGATATATTTATTTATATAGTTTCTTATACATATATATTAAATATTAAATGAAAATAAAAAAATATTAAAATAATAAATAAAAATAATTAATTAATAATGTTTTTATAATAAATGTAAATAAAATTACTATTAGAATGTTAATATATTTTAAAATAATGTAGAATAATCAATAAATTATTCCAATTGTTTAGGTTGATTTGAATAAACAGTCGAATAGAATAATTATTTCATTTTAATTTTAATTTAGATTTGCAAAAAATATATATTGCACTTGAATAAAGCACATTATTGGTAAATAAGTTGTACCTTAATGACTATCGCACAGTAATGTTATATTTAATACATATTAACACTATTGAAAATGCACATAAAAAAATATCATGAATGTTAGACTGCATAATAACGGTATACGGAACACACATTAATGTTTGTGGGATGCACAGTATTGAATTCATTATTTTATTATTATGTATTTTCAACTAAAATGTAATGTAAAAATATTAATCATAGATATTAAAGTACTAAATATATTCTTCTAGTATAAATAATAAATTATTTTCAAATATTTAAAATAATGCAGTTAACCGGTCAAATATACAATTATTTTTAATTCAAGTTTAACTTCTTCTTTTTTTTCGTACAATTCATTGAAAATTTTTGTGTTGAGGGTGCATAATAGTATTATATGTATTGCACATTTACCCCTATCAAATTGCACAATAGTGATCGAGACCAAATAAACTAAAGACTCATCTAGGGCCTACGACAATGATGGAACGCCATGAATAATCAACCCGTTTTGGAACGAAAATTTATATCTATGTTCAGTTATCTATTTATACTTTTAAAATCTCGGATATCTAGCATTTTGGTTAAGAACGTGAAGTTTTAAATGTGTAAGGGGACATAATATATTAATTTTATAAAAAAAAAAATGCGAAGTTTTATTGTGCATATCATCTGTCAATAGTGTGCATCCGACGTAACATTAATGTGCGTATAAATTATTGTGCAAATCAATTAAAATTCAACAAAATTTCATAAGTCCCTAAACCTATATACTTCACCACCAACTCATAACCAAACCAAACTTTATGAAATTACAATTAAAACCCTAACACTTATCAAATTTTCAATAAAAGTCCCGTAAATCATAAATTCAAATCACTTTCCCGACCACAACAAGCACCACCGTCGATTCCCGACAAACTCTTGCACAATATCTGTCGTGGCCCTAATTGAACACAACAACCCTGAAAATGACAAAAATCAGTTCGTAAACATCCAAAACGCAGTAGTGCAACCGCGTCGCCTCGCCGGTCAGGCGCCTCTTCTCCGTCGACGTCTTGTTGCCTCGATGGTCAGCCGCCTCTTCTCCGTCGGCGTGTTGTCGCGTCGCGTCATCTCCGTCCACGTTATGTCATCTCCGTCCGCCATTCCGTTGCTTCACCTCCGTCTGCCAAACAGCCCGTCTGTCGCCGCGTCGCATAGCCTCTGTTAGCCGCGTTGCCTTCGTCTGCTATTGCATCTGTCAGCCGACGCATCGTCTTGCCGTCGTCCACCGCCTACACGTCGACTAGCCTCCGAAAGCTGCCGCGTCGCCTCGCCGCTGACCTCCCCTGCGTCGCATCGACTCCATCCACCGCCGTTACTACTCGCCTCCATCTGCCTTTCATCGAAACAGTGAATCGGCAGTCTGACAACTACGTGAAGAGTGTGATGTCAGATCTGATTTG